GCAGGATTCAAAACGATCTTGACAGATTAGAGAGATGGGCCAAAACTAACAAAATGAAGTTCAATAGTGACAAATGCAAGATACTCCACTTTGGCAGAAAAAATGAAATGCAAAGATACAGAATGGGTGACGCCTGGCTCGAGAGCAGTACGTGTGAAAAAGATCTTGGAGTCCTCGTGGACAACAAGTTAAACATGAGCCAACAATGTGATGTGGCGGCAAAAAAAGCCAATGGATTTTGGCCTGCATCAAGAGGAGCATAGTGTCTAGATCTAAGGAAGTCATGCTACCCCTCTATTCCGCCTTGGTTAGACCACACCTGGAATATGTGTCCAATTCTGGGCACCACAATTCAAGAGAGATATTGACAAGCTGGAATGTGTCCAGAGGAGAGCGACTAAAATGATAAAAGGTCTGGAGAACAAGCCCTATGAGGAGCGGCTAAAGGAGCTGGGCATGTTTAGCCTGAAGAAGAGAAGGCTGAGAGGAGATATGATAGCCATGTATAAATATGTGAGAGGAAGCCACAGGGAGGAGGGAGCAAGCTTGTTTTCTGCTTCCCTGGAGACTAGGATTCGGAACAATGGCTTCAAACTACAGGAGAGGAGATTCCATCTGAACATGAGGAAGAACTTCCTGACTGTGAGAGCCGTTCAGCAGTGGAACTCTCTGCCCCGGAGTGTGGTGGAGGCTCCTTCTTTGGAAGCTTTTAAACAGAGGCTGGATGGCCATCTGTTGGGAGTTATTTGAATGCGATGTTCCTGCTTCTTGGCAGGGGGTTGGACTGGATGGCCCATGAGGTCTCTTCCAACTCTTTGATTCTATGATTCTATGATTTGTTTAAAATTAAATAACTGAACAATTTTATAAAGTTCCACAATTTTTCCAAACCCAGCTTTCAATCCTTGTTTTTTTTAAGTGTTTGGTGTCTTTGTATGTATGTTATGTGATTTTTCTGTTTAGTTTTTGAAGAAATGTGAGAAAAGGTTATGAGAGATGTATTATTCATTCAATGTTATTTGTTCCCGTGTTCCTAAATTCAGAAAAAAATGGAATTAGTCATGTTGACAAGAGGATCCAGGAAGTTGTCATCCAAAGAAAGTAACTTTTTCCAGAATTGAGAAAGAATAAACAAGAAACATTTGGAACTAACTTTAAAACAAACATGGCACAGCTCCTAGTCTCACATGATGTAATATTACTTCAGGGGCCAGAATACATCATTGTGTATCTGTAGGATTTTCTGCTCTCTTTCCTGCCCTCTGATTCATCCAGGGCCAGGAAAGGTGTGAAGGGTCTCCCCTCTGGTCCCATGAGTGGAGTGAAAGCAGAGGGACAATTGAGGAAACCATCTTACTCTGTTCCCTCCCATTAAGGCATCTTCTGCTATCCTTTCCTCATAGAGGTCCAATTTTTCCCCAACTTGTGCCATTTGGAGTTGGATAATACCCAACTCCCCAAAAGGCCCTCTGGGCTCCGTTTCTCTACACTACCAGAAGTTGCCTTTCATCATGTGATGGACTCCTTGGGATTCAGCCTGGGCACCTACTCGCCCGTGGATTACATGAGCATCACCAGCTTTCCCCGGCTGCCCGAGGAGGAGGCGGCGGCGGCAGGAGGAGGAGGAGGAGGGGGCTCGGAGAGCTGCCTCCGCTCCCGCAAGGAGGAGGATGCCTTCCTCGGGGAGCAGGAGACCGGTGAGAGCGGGAAGGAGGGAAACACCCGCTTGCCTGCCTGCCTGCCTGCCTCCATCCTCCCTCCATCCACGCATCCACGCATCCATCCTCCTCCGAGCATCTTCTCCCTTGGATCATGCCCCCTTCTTCCATGGTGCAGGCTCCCCTGCAGCCAAGGCCACCCTCCTCCTTGCCTCCCTCCCTCCTTCTCCCCTTTCCCTCCTCCCTCCCATGTCAAGCATCCTCTGATCTTCACCAAGGACTCCCAAACTCCTCCTCCTCCTCCTCTTCCTCCTCCTCCTCTAAGGGCTTTGGAGTTCAACTCCCAGTGGGGACCCCCAAAGGTCATCCAGTCCATCCCCCTTGTTTAGAAGCAAGTTGAGGGAGCCCCCTTAACGAATCGACCCCGCGGCAATAACGTAAGCTTCGGAAATGTTTTGCGCATGCGCGGGGGTCCGCCATCTTTACAAAATGTTTTGTAAATATTTACGAAATTTCGTAAATACCGAAACCTTTTTTTGGAAAGTTTTGTAATTATTTAAAATATCGAAACAAAAAAACACCCCAATTACAAATCGATTTTAGAAACAAATTTTTTCTTGATCAAACAGCCCTCTTGGCTATCCCTCCCAATTTGGTCGTCTGCAAACTTGATGATCATGCCTTCTAGCCCTTCATATAAGTCATTAATAAAGATGTTGAACAGGACCGGGCCCAGGACGGAACCCTGCGGCACTCCACTTGTCACTTCTTTCCAAGATGAAGAGGAAGCATTAGTGAGCACTCTCTGTGTTTGTCCACTTAACCAATTACAGATCCACCTCACCGTAGTTTTGCCTAGCCCACATTGGACTAGTTTCCTTGCCAGAAGGTCATGGGGGACCTTGTCGAAGGCCGTACTGAAATCCAGGTACGCTACATCCACGGCATTCCCCGCATCTACCCAGCTTGTAGCTCTATCGAAGAAAGAGATCAGAGATGACTTGTTTTTGATAAATCCATGTTGACTATTAGCGATGACTGCATTTGTTTCTAAGTGTTTGCAGACCGCTTCCTTAACAATCTTTTCCAGAATCTTGCCCGGTATCGACGTGAGGCTGACTGGACGGTAGTTGTTTGGGTCATCCTTTTTTCCCTTCTTGAAGATTGGGACCACATTGGCCCTCCTCCAATCTGCTGGAACTTCTCCCGTTCTCCAAGAACTCTCAAAGATGGTTGCCAATGGTTCCGAAATGACTTCCGCTAGTTCCTTCAATACTCTTGGGTGTAGTTGATCTGGCCCTGGGGACTTGAACTCATTAAGAGCGGCCAGGTATTCCTGGACGACATGTTTCCCAATTTGGGGTTGGATGTCCTCCAATCCCTCATCCACTCCATCTTGCTGAGGTTGAAGACTCTCTTTTTGTGAGAAGACTGAGGCAAAGAAGGCATTAAGTAGTTCTGCCTTTTCCCTATCCCCTGTCAGCATTGCCCCATCTTCTCCTCGAAGAGGTCCTATCGCCTCCTTGTTTTTCCTTTTTCTACTGACATAAGAATAGAAACCCTTTTTATTGTTTTTAATGTCCCTGGCAAGTCTGAGCTCGTTTTTTGCTTTAGCCTTGCGACCTTTTCCCTACAGGTGTTGGCTAATTTAATAAATTCTCATATTCTAGTATTGCTGCTAAAATACACTCATTTAAAAGGGTTGCTATTTCTTCCCTTGATTCTGCTATAAACTTATTGGATGTATGATCCATTGTAGCATTCACAGAGCATTTTAATATTATTAGCTAGAAACGAAGGAGATGTGGGTACTGGGATGTATACCTACAACCAATATGCACTCTGTAGTCCACCAAAAATGGAATTGGACCAAACTTGGCACACAGAGGCCCCATGACCAGCAAAAAAAACTGTAGGTCTTTGGGGGAAATTCACCATGATTTGGGAGAGTTGTAGTTCATCTACATCCAGTGAGCACTGTGAAACCAAATGGTGATGGATCTTGACCAAACTTGGCACACATGCCTGATATGCCGAAATTTGATTACTGGAGGGGTTTGGGGGGAACTGACCTTCCTTTCTGAGAGTTGTCATTCACCCACAACCACAGAAACTGAGACCACCACCAATGATGGACCTGGACCAAACTTGGCACACAGCGCCCCCATGACTAACTCAACATACTGGAGGGGTTTGAGGGGACTGACTCACCATAGGGAGAGTTGCAGTTTATCCTACAGCCAGAGAGCACACTGAACCCTGCTGATGATGCATCTAGAGCAAACTTGCCCAACATAACAAACTTTAAGTACTGATGGAGTTTCTAACCTCAGTTGTAGTTAATTCACAACCTTATGCATTCTGTGCAATTAAAAAATAGACTTTTTCAAATAGCCCAGGCAATGCCAAGTACCCAAGCTAGTATAAAATAAAAGGAAAATAGTCATCTTGGGAATAGCAAGGGGGAGAAGGGAGAGAAGAAGAGGAGGCAAATCCTATCCCCTGATGTCAGTTTACTACATGTACAGAAGTGTAAGGGATCCATCACTTCAAAATATTGCATGAATCATAGAATCATAGAGTTGGAAGAGACCACATGGTTCATCTAGTCCAATCCCCTACCATGCTAGAAAGGCACAAACAAAGTACTCCTGGAGAACAAGCCCTATGAAGAGCGACTTAAAGAGCTGGGCATGTTTAGCCTGAAGAAGAGAAGGCTGAGAGGAGACATGATAGCTATGTATAAATATGTGAGAAGAAGTCACAGGGATGAGGGAGCAAGCTTGTTTTCTGCTTCCCTGGAGACTAGGACACGGAACAATGGCTTCAAACTACAAGAAAGGAGATTCCATCTGAACATTAGGAAGAACTTCCTGACTGTGAGAGCTGCTCAGCAGTGGAACTCTCTGCCCTGGAGTGTGGTGGAGGCTCCTTCTTTAGAGGCTTTTAAGCAGAGGCTGGATGGCCATCTGTCAGGGGTGATTTGAATGTAATATTCCTGCTTCCTGGCAGGGGGTTGGACTGGATGGCCCAGGAGGTCTTTTCCAACTCTTTGATTCTATGATTCTATGACAGGGGGCAGGGGAGGCAACAGACGAGCAGCAAGATGCACATGGAGTCATGTGATGGTGATCATTACCAATATGACAGTGTGGCTGCAATGTGGGTTTAACTGTATCTTTTTGATAAGTTCCTATGAATATGGCTCTCAATGAATGATTATAAAAGAAAATGACAGCTATGCACTGCCACCGTATTAACACCCATTTCTCATGCCATCGTTGTTGAGTTCTTCTTCCTCAATGACTAATGCAAATATTTGTGTGTTTATTCCTTCTGCAGAGAGCAAAGGGAAAAGAAATGCCCTTCATGATTACAGAAAAACATCTGATACCTTACTAGTGGGGACAGACAAGGTGCTGAAAGTGAAAACTAAGCTGCTAAACTCCACAGAGCAGTGTGCCAAGAGATGCAACAGAAGCAAAGGTCTTCCATTTGCCTGCAAGTAAGCAGTGTTTTCATGTGCATTTAGTATTGCCAAAGTACTGTGCTAATCTAAGTAACATGAGATTTACCTGACAAGCCTTCATAAAGAATAAATCCTTTTTAGAAGAGCACTTGAGCAGGGTTGGTGGGGTGACTTAGCTGAGGACATGGATTTTATTGAATGCAGTTCGGACGACTTAAGGCCTTGTGATGAAGGAACAGCATGAATTCAAGTACTGCTGATCTTGTGTGCATATGTGTGCATGTGTGTGTGTGTGTGTGTGTGTGTGTGTGTGTTTGTGTGTGTGTGTGTGTGTGTGAGAGAGAGAGAGAGATAGAGAACCTATAAACAGATAGTGTATAGATGTGATTTAATCCTCTTGTTGTTATTTTATGGCTTTTATCTGTGTCTACTATATTTTGGCAATTGACACCAAGGAAAATCAGCTTGGAATAAAGGATATAAAAATACAATCAAATGAGGTTGCACTTTCAATTGCTGGCAGATACAGAGGCATCTCTCTATGTACTACATGAATACAGAAATTCTATTCTAATTTTAACTTGTTTTATGATATTATGTGTACTGTTTTGTTGGAAACTGCCTTGAGTCGCCAATTGGCTGAGAAAGCCATACAAATACAGTAAATAAATAAAATAAATAAATAGATTGGTGTTGGTGGACAGCGATTTGGCAAATACTGCATTGGAGCAAACATTCGAAGCCAAACTGATGTACAGAGTTTCCAAGTAACAAATTATTTCAGACATCTTTCCAAATCAATGCAATGTATAGATATATTTTGTTAACTTATTTAGTTGGGTTTTCTATGATGAATGTTGTGATGGCTGTGTGTTCTTTCATATTTGTCCAATCAATATGCCTTTAGCAGGAGATGTCCTAATTTTTGTTGTGGAACAGAAAAGGCTTCCTTTCACTCTGGATTGCATCCAGATTATTTCCCTGGCTTGTACTGAAGCCCTATGGCACACGTTTCGAATGCTCTATGGCATCAAACATAACTGGAGAATGAAGAATGATGCAGAGAGGCTGCAAACTGGGGTATAAGGTTTTTATTTTTCTGTCTGAATATATGGAGCCACTGACGGTTTTTTATCCTACAAATTCTGCAAATGGTAACACTCTAATACTGATTATGATGCAGCCGTGTCATACGTGCCCAGTCTAGGAGATATGGCACCACCTAGGAATGAAATCCGTCTTGCATGTATGAGCCTCAGATTCAAGACAATCTAGGTCACTGGAGTCACTGGCCGCAGACCTAGAAATTCACATGTCTGAAATCGCATCACAATTATTCCAGTGTAGCTTTCAATGCAGATTGTTAGGAGTTCCATTTATTGTAATTGTTAGGAGTTCCAGTTGGAAGGAAAAATAAATGAATGCCTCTAAGACACATAATTAAGTGTCCTACCCAGTCAATTTTCAACCATGAATTTTAAGTTAACATCCTATTACTATTGTATTTTAAGCTGTGTCCATGTATTTTTAATATATGTTGTTGTTCATTCGTTCAGTCGTCTCCGACTCTTTGTGACCTCATGGACCAGCCCACGCCAGAGCTCCCTGTTGGCCGTCACCACCCCCAGCTCCTTCAAGGTCAGTCCAGTCACTTCAAGGATGCCATCCATCCATCTTGCCCTTGGTCGGCCCCTCTTCCTTTTGCCTTCCACTTTCCCCAGCATAATTGTCTTCTCTAGGCTTTCCTGTCTTCTCATGATGTGGCCAAAGTACTTCATCTTTGCCTCTAATATCCTTCCCTCCAATGAGCAGCGGGCATTATTTGCTGGAATATGGACTGGCTTGATCTTCTTGCGGTCCAAGGCACTCTCAGAATTTTCCTCCAACACCACGGTTCCAAAGCGCTCCATCTTCCTTCGCTCAGCCTTCCCTAAGGTCCAGCTCTCACATCCGTAGGTTACTACAGGGAATACCATGGCTTTGACTAGGCGGATCTTTGTTGCCAGTCTGATGTCTCTACTCTTTACTATTTTATCGAGATTGGACATTGCTCTCCTCCCAAGAAGTAAGCGTCTTCTGATTTCCTGGCCACAGTCTGCATCTGCAGTAATCTTTGCGCCTAGAAATACAAAGTCTGTCACGGCCTTCACATTTTCTCCCTCTTAATATATGTATTTTTATAGTAATGTGTTTAAATATATGCATTTTGTTGTATGTATTTTATGGTGATGTGTTTTCACTGTGTTGTGACCCACCTAAAGCTGTGAGGAGATGGGTAGCAAATAAAATTGATTAAAAATGATCTCAGTCCCGCTCTACACTTCAATCTAAACAGAGCTTTGATACACATTTGTCTTGCTTTCTGCACAGGGCTTTTGTCTTTGATAAACCTACCAAACGTTGTCGTTGGTTGTCTTTCACTAGTCTTGACAGTGGAATAGTAAGGAGGCATAATAACACATTTGATCTTTATGAAAAGAAAGGTAAGTTGCTTTTCTTTCAAATATAACACTCTAGACAAGATACCTCATTTGACACAGTTATTATGAAATCCCATTGGCCATTGTGATTTAACCCCCTCATAGAAAAGTTCTGATGCTTTAGAACAAGCACATCTCAAAAGATCACCTCTAAACTGTTTATTTCTTACAGAAATGCCTGAGAATTTCTGTAGAAGAATAACTTTTTAAATTTTTGCAAAATAATTGTTTGCACATTAGAAAAACATGACAGTACAGTTTCAAATCATTATGTACAATTCTTCATTACCCATCTCATCCACCCTCCCGCTTCTCCCTAAAGAACAGACACTTTTACTTTCCTGTCAATCCTCTAGTAAACTATTCTCTAAATGATTATCTATTTTCTTATTAATAAATACATCTTTCCATAGTAATTTAACAAAAATATCACTTGATCTGAGGGTGGTTTGAATGTGTTGTTATTTTGGCACATATACCTAATAAATAGATCCAAATTGCCCCAAACAAATTCTCTTTTATTTCTCCTTTCTTTACTCTCACATCATATGTCAGTTTTTCATTCATTCATTCATTTTTGCTGGATGACATGAAAACCAAACAGAACATTTTTGTTTGTCCCTAGGAAAGGTTCCAGAGATAAAATATAGTTAAAGTTGGGGACTTGCACACGCCCAGCTGTTTGCTGTCATCGTTTATTCTGAATAATAAATCCAGGCATTGATTTGTTGGTATCTCTTTTTGACATTTGAAAATACACTACTGCTTCTGAAGCAACATTCAAAGAGTGCACAGAGATCTGGATAATGTTTAGTATCACAGCCAAACCATGTTCAGAACCAGCCTTTTAGCAATGTGGAAAAGGTACAAGAAAGGGATAGAGCCAAAAATTGCCCACTGGAAGCAGTTCAGCGACCGGCTACAATTACTGAATCTAGAATATATATGGAATATTTGGTCAAAGAGAAAGAACAATGGACACTTAAAGGTAGAGAAGAATCGGGGATAAAATACTGGTTCAGCTTCTTCCAACTGCATGACAGATTTAGGAAGGACGCAAAGGTAGGATTTGCTTCTAAAAAATTGGAGTTAGAATGTATTTTCGAGAATGGCAACAAAGGCCTAAAATAAATATATTTTAGAATACATCTTAATAGACAACCAGATAAAAGCTGTTATGATAACATGGTCCAAAGATTTAGCTAGAAATATTGATTTGGAAGATTGGGAACAACTTTGGAAAAGGGGGTTTACATTTTCAGTGACCAGTTCAATTAGAGAAAATATGTTTAAAATGTTTTTAGAACTTACATAACTCCATAGTTATTGGCCAAAATAGAAAAAAAAAAAAAAACAGGACAAGGGCTTTTCTGGAGATGTAAGGTGGGAGCCCCCGGTGGCGCAGTGGGTTAAAGCACTGAGCTGCTGAGCTTGTTGATCGAAAGATCGCAGGTTCGATTCCGGGGAGCGGCGTGAGCTTCTGCTGTCAGCCCGAGCTTCTGCCAACCTAGCAGTTCGAAAACATGCAAATGTGAGTAGATCAATAGGTACCGCTCCGGCGGGAAGGTAACGGCGCTCCATGCAGTCATGCCGGCCACATGACCTTGGAGGTGTCTACGGACAGCGCTGGCTCTTCAGCTTAGAAATGGAGATGAGCACCACACCCCAGAGTCAGACATGACTGGACTTAATGTCAGGGGACTACCTTTTTTTAAGGAGGTGAAGGAATCATTTTTCCCCATAAGGTGGACTTGTAATATAGTTCAAGAATTCTGGAAAAAAGCGGTGAAATAAACAAACAATATGATTAACAAAAGGTCAAGAAAAACCTGGAAATATGTTTATTAGGCCTATTCAGAAGGTGTATTAGTGCAGGAGATGAAGAAATTTGTCAACATTGTTTTGTTGTTGGAAGACTAGTAATAGCTAAAACGTGGAAGGGGAAAATAAAGTTAATTATTAAAGATTGGAGAGATAAATTTAGTAGATTATATCCAAATGGCCAAATTGACAAATAGCAACAGAGGAGGAAATAATGAAGAATTTGCAAACAAATGGAGGCTGGCACTTGGGTATCTGGAAAAGAAGACAAAGGTAGATTTGAAGACTGTCATAAAGGGGATTTAGTGAAAGAAACATATGGGTAGTTGCTGGTTAGTTGTGTGATCCTTTTTTGGGAGAGTTGGAGGTCTTGGGGGTTGGGTTCACAGGTGTGGGGATAGAGGGATAAGAAATGTTAAGGTATAATTAACTGTACAGCCAATTCTGATTTTTCATATTTTCATCGAGCACTGACTGTATATCATTTTGTAAACCTGCTTACTCTTTTGCATATTTTTTCTTTCCTTTTCTTCCTTTTTTTTGATAGTCAGTTTTATTTCTTATACACACTATAAAACAATAAAAATATGAAAAAGAGAGTTTTTGTACATACTGGATTGTTCTGATTGTAAAATGCATGAAGCAGGTTTGTTGGGTTTGACTTTTTTGTGGCATGAGCTTAATTAAATTGTAATCCTGAATATCATGCACAAAATTTCAATACATTTACTTTCACTGCCAAAACCTCCATCTGTTTTGTTTTCATCATTTATCTTTGACAGATTATGTCAGAAATTGTATTGTTGGCAAAGGAGCAAATTATAAAGGAACTCTATCAGTCACCAAAAGTGGAATCCGGTGCCAAGCATGGAATTCCACAATCCCTCATGAGCATAAGTAAGTTTGATGGGATCACAGGAGTCCAGTCTTTCACAGTTTTTGCCTTTAAATGTGTTTTTGTTAAGCAAGTGAACAGATTAACATTGCACTTATTGTAGTGCAGCACATCCAGATTTGCTACTGAATTGGAAACCAGTCAGCCTGGAATACCTGATGGGTTTAATTGCATAATGTACATATTTTCAAATATATTTTGTATTCACACTTTATTTTAGTATACCTAGACTGATTCATGTATAATCTTTAAAAAGTGATATGATTATCAGGAGGTGACATATGTAAAGAGATTAAGGGCATCCAGATTAAGGGGTTTTTTCACAATATATTGTCGAAGGCTTTCATGGCCGGAATCACTAGGTTCTTGTGCGTTTTTTCGGGCTATATGACCATGTTCTAGAGGCATTTCTCCTGACGTTTCGCCTGCATCTATAGTGGTAGTGAGGTCTGAGGATGCTTGCCAAAGATGCAGGCGAAACATCAGGAGAAATGCCTCTGAGGATGCTTGCCATAGATGCAGGCGAAACGTCAGGAGAAATGCCTCTAGAACATGGCCATATAGCCCGAAAAAACCCACAAGAACCTACTTTTCACAATACACTGTAATAGTGCTATTAATCCACTTTAACCACAATGGCAACATCCTGTGGCATTCTGGGGTTTGTAGTTATTAAATTACTTGAGCTCTCTAAATGCTGTTTCTCAAATTACAAATTTCAGGATTCCAATAAAATGTTGCCATGCCAAATAAAATGGAATAATCATGCTATAGTATAATAAGCCAACGGACTGATCCCTATCTTGTCTATCCAAGTTGATACAATTTTGCTGCTGTGGAGACAGTGCTCCAAGGGGAATGAGTGATCTGTGAAAATTGGATGCACTAAATATTTGAAATAATTGAAATATTTGGCACTTTTTCATTTTCAATATTTCCATATATGAGACAGAAAAAAAATCTTAAGGAGCATGTCAAACATCTCCCTTACAACTCATTGGTTTATTTAAATTCTTTGACAACATCATGGTTGTTAATTTAAAACATGCTAAGCCAACAGCTACATATTAGGCCTGGGTAACAACGCAAAAATTTGTTTCTAAAATCGATTCGTTTTTGGGGGGTTTTTGCGTTTCGTTATTTAAAAGAATTACAAAATTTTCCTTTAAAAAAGTTCGGTATTTACGAAATTTCGTTATTATTAACGAATCGATTCGTTAAGATGGCGGACCCCCCGCGCATGCACAAATCACTTTTTTTTCTTTTTTTAGAATATTTTTTGAATTTTTTTAAGAATAAAAGAAATATTTATCAGAAATATTTAAAAATGGAAAATTAACAAAATGCTTGCCCTGCCCTGTTGTGGGGCGAAAACAGGGCAAAGCCTCCCCGCTGCTCCCAGCCCAGGTCCTTAAACCGCCCTCGCTCTCCCAACAATGAATGTGAATGAATGAATGAATGCAAGCAATGAATGAATGCAAGCAAGCCAAGCCTCCCTCCCGCACCTCCCGTCTCCTCGCCTTCGCAATGAGTAATGCGGCCATGCGGAGCCGCTTTTAAAGGGCAGCCCGCCCAATCACAATCAGCCACGGTGCTTGGGAGCGCAGGATTGGCTCCCGGCGCACCCAGCATCCTCCATCCCTAAAACGTCATTTCCGAAAAGGGCGGAAGCCCGTAAAAAAGATGGAGGATGCCGTTTCGATATTTAAAAACACTTCCGGGTTTGAAAATATGTTTTGTAATCATTTTGTAATTGTTAAAAATAACGAATTAATAACGAATTACGAAATTAATGAACGAAACCGCCCAGCCCTACTACATACATCTCTTGATTCCATGGATCTGCTCTGCAGTAATTTTGGGCAAAAAATTGGCTGTAGATACTTGTGTTGTTTATTTCTGATGATCACTATATTATAAGATGCTAGAATATTTAGGGCATTCTGATTTGAATGTTGCTGGTTTGTATTTAATGCTTATCTTTCCCAAGCTTACAATTTTCAAATGAAATAGATGGGGGAGGGAATTTCCATAATACTCTAATACACAAGGGCGTACCATTGCTAGACATGTAATTCTCCATCATAAATGCTTGCCTAAAGCTGTCCTTAGCTAAGAGGTTATGAAATTACATGATGATCACATGGAAAGGGAAATGAGTAAGATATGATAGACTTACTGCTTCCTCACACTAGAGAAGAAATCCACTTAAAATCTGGTTTCTACCTCCTGCAGAATTCTGGGGTTTGCAGTATAGGGAGGAGCATTTCACCGCTTCACTAATTAGAATGAATGGGAGAATATTCATTTTCTTTGTTGATGAAAGACAAAAAAAAAAAAAAAAAAGGAAATGGTGTTAGTGCATACCATATGCACTAACCCCTGGTGGCACAATGGGTTAAACTCTTGTGTCGGCAGGACTGCTGACCAATAGTTCAGTGGTTCAAATCCGGGAGAGCAGCTTGAGTTCCCTCTGTGAGCTTCACCTCCCATGTGGGGATATGTCTAGCAATGGTAGGCCCTTGTGTATTAGAGTATTATGGAAATTCCCTCCCCCATCTATTTCATTTCATTTCTGAGAATGAGGAATGCAGAAGTTGTAGTCCAGCATCTGGATGACCACATAAAATGACTTGGCAGGTTGAATCTGGTCTGCAGGCCTTGAGTTTGACACATGTGCACTTTGTTTAATGGACTATACTATGCACTAATCAAAGATAGTTAATATACAAATGAATTGAGTTTAATAATAAGTCAAGACAAGAGGCAGTTGCCTATTTGGAATGGAAGTGTTGACTGGAAGATGAATTCTTAGTTTTGAAATCTGGATATATTTTCACTATCACATTTTCAAATAATATTGTGATTCCATGATTAATAAAAAGTAGTTAATTTGTGGAAAAGATTATAATTACGCATTACTTTGAAGTGAAACTATGTGACTACAACTAATTAATGGCCATAGTATCTTTTCTTTGATGTTGCCAGATTACTAGTATATGTTCCCATTCAGATAATTGAGCTAAGGCGCATGTCATGCTTCATTTGCTAGGTAATTGAATATAAGGTGATAGAATTTGAAAACTGCAGAGAAATACATAATTGGATGTAGCAAATACAACTCTAGATCCCTGGTTTTAATTTTTTCCTTCTTCACATTTTATATTTTTCCTTTCTGCTCTGACGTTACATCATTTTAGAATGCTATTTTCACCTGGAAACAGACAGGGAGATAATGTTAAAAAGGAGAAGAATACATTGCACTATTTTAAGAAGGAGATGTCAGATAACTTATTCAAGAAGATGCAACGGTTCACCACAAAGTTTGCATGCTCTTATACTGTAATGATTGTCATTTTAAAACTAGCTTTTTGCCTTCGAGCTATCGAGGTAAAGATCTTCGAGGAAACTTCTGCCGGAACCCAAAAGGGGAAGAAGATGGGCCCTGGTGTTTTACAAGCAATCCAGAAAAACGCTATGAAGTCTGTGACATACCCCTTTGTTCTGAAGGTAACACCCAAGATTTGACTAATAGTGGTTTAAGTTATGTGAATAAAACAAATTGTCTGAAGTATTAAAGCTCAAAAACTTTAGGTTCTTGTGGGTTTTTTCGGGCTATAGGCCATGTTCTAGAGGCATTTCTCCTGACGTTTCGCCTGCATCTATGGCAAGCATCCTCAGAGGTAGTGAGGTCTGTCGGAATTAGGACAATGGGTTTATATATCTGTGGAATGGCTGGGGTGGGGCAAGGAGCTCTTCCCTGCTGCAGTTAGGTGTGAATGTTTCAGCTGATCACCTTCATTAGCATTTGAAGGCTGCCTGAGCCTGGGAAAATCTCTTGCTGGGAGGTGTTAATCTGTGCCTGGTTGTTTCCTCTCTGTTGTTTTGCTGTTATAATTTTAGAGTTTTTTAATACTGGTAGCCAGATTTTGTTCATTTACATGGTCTCTTCCTTTCTGTTGAAATTGTCCACATGCTTGTGGATTTCAATGGCTTCTCTGTGTAGTCTGACATGGTGGTTGTTGGTGTGGTCCAGCATTTCTGTGTTCTCAAATAATATGCTGTGTCCAGGCTGGTTCATCAGGTGCTCTGCTATGGCTGACTTCTCTGGTTGAAGTAGTCTGCAGTGCCTTTCATGTTCCTTGATCCGTGTCTGGGCGCTGCGTTTGGTGGTCCCTATGTAGACTTGTCCACAGCTGCATGGTATACAGGTAGACTCCTGCAGAGGTGAGAGGATCCGTCTTGTCCTTTGCTGAACGTAGCATTTGTTGGATTTTCTTGGTGGGTTTGTAGATTGTTTGTATGTTGTGTTTCCTCATCAGCTTCCCTATGCGATCAGTGGTTCCCTTGATGTATGGCAGGAACACTTTTCCTCTGGGTGGATCTTCATCTTTACTCTCATGGTTTGTTCTTGGTCTTGCAGCTCTTCTGATGTCTGAGGTGGAGGGAAGAGCTCCTTGCCCCACCCCAGCCATTCCACAGATATATAAACCCATTGTCCTAATTCCAACAGACCTCACTACCTCTGAGGATGCTTGCCATAGATGCAGGCGAAACATCAGGAGAAATGCCTCTAGAACATGGCTCTATAGCCCGAAAAACCCACAAGAACCTAGTGATTCCAGCCATGAAAGCCTTCGACAATACACTCAAAAACTTTGTCTCACATTAGCCATTATGAATTCCCATGCTGTTCTGATGACAGTTAAACACTTCAATACCACTCTTGAATTTTTATACAAGTATTGTTGCTCCAGACACCTCATAGAATCATAGAATCATAGAATCAAAGAGTTGGAAGAGACCTCATGGGCCATCCAGTCCAACCCCCTGCCAAGAAGCAGGAATATTGCATTCAAATCACCCCTGACAGATGGCCATCCAGCCTCTGTTTAAAAGCTTCCAAAGAAGGAGCCTCCACCACACTCCGTGGCAGAGAGTTCCACTGCTGAACGGCTCTCACAGTCAGGAAGTTCTTCCTCATGTTCAGATGGAATCTCCTTTCTTGTAGTTTGAAGCCATTGTTTCGCGTCCTAGTCTCCAGGGAAGCAGAAAACAAGCTTGCTCCCTCATCCCTGTGGCTTCCTCCATATTTATACATGGCTATCATATCTCCTCTCAGCCTTCTCTTCTTCAGGCTAAACATGCCCAGCTCCTAAGCCGCTCCTCATAGGGCTTGTTCTCCAGACCCTTGATCATTTTAGTCGCCCTCTGGACACATTCCAGCTTGTCAATATCTCTCTTGAATTGTGGTGCTCAGAATTGGACACAATATTCCAGATGTGGTCTAACCAAGGCAGAATAGAGGGGTAGCATTACTTCCTTTTACCTCTGTGTCTTTCTTTCTTCTTTGTCTTGACATCTCTCCCTCTTGCTATTCCTTCTGTAAGAAAGGAAAGGCACAGACATTGGGAATTAACATGTCCATCCAACAATTGCAGTGAACATCAAGTACTGATATATAAAGCTGTTATATGATGTTATCCCATCTTAACTGTCCCCCGTTTTCTTATCATCTTCAAACACTGGCAAAATGAAGTCCCACAGAAGCCATTCCATGATGCACAGCCACTTCCAGTGTCTGCCTATGGGAGGTTAAAGGTAAAAGGTTTTCCCCTGACATTAAGTTCAGTCATGCCCAACTCTATGGGCATCCATCTTGCCAGTGTGAGAGCACGCTAAGGAGAGAGCGCAGGGAAGTGGAGAAAAGCACGAAGAAAATGGGGAAATGTTGTGGGATGGCTGGCAACCTCCAAAGATGAACCTTGCCAGGGTAATCCAGGTCCCCACTCTTCAACACGCGTTCCCTCATTTCCTGTGCTTTTCCCCTTCTCATGTTTAACGATAACATCCTTAAAGAAATATTGTGTAGAATTATTTATTATTTATTTATTTAATGTACTTATACCCCGCCCTTCTCACCCCGAAGGGGACTCAGGGCGGCTTACAAACTATGGCAACAATTCAATGCCAGATTCAGATAACAACAATATCAATAGAACACAATATTATAAAACTGTAAGAAACACAAATATATAAATTAAAATAATCTTTCAAATGATTAAAACATATTAAAACATTTCAAACATATCAAAATTACATTGCATTGAAGCACGATTACAGGTCTTACAGTCCAGTGGCTTAAACAGCCAAAACCCTTATAAATCTTTATTAATGACTTAGATGAAGGCTAGAAGGCATGATCATCAAGTTTGCAGACGACACCAAATTGGGAGGGATAGCCAATAGTCCAGAGGACAGGAGCAGAATTCAAAACGATCTTGACAGATTAGAGAGATGGGCCAAAACTAACAAAATGAAGTTCAACAGTGACAAATGCCACTTTGGCAGAAAAAATGAAATGCAAAGATACAGAATGGGTGACGCCTGGCTCGAGAGCAGTACGTGTGAAAAAGATCTTGGAGTCCTCATGGACAACAAGTTAAACATGAGCCAACAATGTGATGTGGCGGCAAAAAAAGCCAATGGGATTTTGGCCTGCATCAATAGGAGCATAGTGTCTAGATCAGCGGTTCTCAACCTGGGGGTCGCGACCCCTCAGGGGGTCGTTTGGCCATTTTCTGGGGGTCGCGAAGCCGCATTGGCTGGCCACGCCCCCTCCAAAATGGCGGCCGACCCCCTGCGCCACTGGCATTCCCCCGCGCGAAGCCATCCGCCTGTCCCTCATCTCCTTCTGATGGCAGAAGGAGGCGAGGGACGGGCGAGCGGCTCCGCGGGCGGCTAGGCCACACGCGAAGCCATCTGCCTGTCCCTTGCTTCCTTCTGATGGCAGAAGGAGGTGAGGGATGGGTGAGTGGCTCCTTGGGCGCCCCTCGCCTGCTCTGCTCTCCCGCCGGCCGGTGGGGGGGCGGAGCAGGCGAGGGCCTTTGGAGCAAGGCCTTCTCCAGGTGCCCTTGCCTGCTCCGCTCTCCCGCCGGCCGGTGGGGGGGCGGAGCAGGCGAGGGCCTTTGGAGCAAGGCCTTCTCCAGGTGCCCTTGCCTGCTCCGCTCTCCCGCCGGCCGGTGGGGGGGCGGAGCAGGCGAGGGGGGATGGGTGAGTGGCTCCTTGGGCGCCCCTCGCCTGCTCTGCTCTCCCGCCGGCCGGTGGGGGGGCGGAGCAGGCGAGGGCCTTTGGAGCAAGGCCTTCTCCAGGTGCCCTTGCCTGCTCCGCTCTCCCGCCGGCCGGCGGGGGGGCGGGGGGGCTTGGGAGCAAGGCGTCTTCTCCAGGCGCCCTTGGCTGCTCCGCTCTCCCGCCAGCCGGCAGGGGGGCGGAGGCGAGGGCCTTTGGAGCAAGGCCTTCTCCAGGCGCCCTCCTGCTCCGCTCTCCCGCCGGCCGGCGGGGGGGGGCGGAGCAGGCGAGGGCCTTGGGAGCAAGGCCTTCTCCAGGCGCCCTCGGCTGCTCCGCTCTCTCGCCGGCCGGCAGGGGTGCGGAGCAAGCGAGGGCTCTTCGTTGCAGGTGAACTATAAATCCCAGCAACTGCATATCCCAAATGTCAAGGTCTATTTTCAACAAACTCCACCAGTGTTCACATTGGGGCATATTGAGTATCTGTGCCAAGTGTGGACCAGATCCATCATTGTGTGAGTCTGCAATGCTCTCTGGATGCAGGTGAACTACATCTCCCAAACTCAAGGTCAGTGCTCACCAGACCATTCCAGTATTTTTCGTTGGTTGTGGGAGTTCTGTGTGCCAAGTTTGGTCCAATTCCATCATTGGTGGAGTTAAAAATGCTCTTTAATTGTAGGTGAACTATAAATCCCAGCAACGACAACTTCCAAATGACATAATCAATTTTCCCTCCAACCCCACCAGTATTCAAATTTGGGTGTATTGGATAACGTAAGGTAAAAGTTTTCCCCTGACATTAAGTCCAGTTGTGTCCAACTCTGGGAGTTGGTGCTCAATTTCTAGGCCAAAGAGCCGGTGTTGTTCATAGACACCTCCAAGGTCATGTAGCTGACATGACGGCATGGAGTGCTGTTTTTGGATATTTGTGCCAAATTTGGTCCAGTGAATGAAAATACATCCTGCATTTCAGATTTTTTACATTGTGATTCATAACAGTAACACAATTATGAAGTAGCAACAAAAAACATTTTATGGTTGGGGGTCACCACAACATGAGGAACTGTATTAGGAAGGTTGAGAAACACTGAAGGAGCATAGTGTCTAGATCTAGGGAAGTAATGCTACCCTCTATTCTGCTTTGGTTAGACCACACCTGGAATATTGTGTCCAATTCTGGGCACCACAATTCAAGAGAGATATTGACAAGCTGGAATGTGTCCAGAGGAGGGCGACTAAAATGATCAAGGGTCTGGAGAACAAGCCCTATGAGGAGCGGCTTAAGGAGCTGGGCATGTTTTTAGCCTGAAGAAGAGAAGGCTGAGAGGAGATATGATAGCCATGTATAAATATGTGAGAGGAAGCCACAGGGAGGAGGGAGCAAGCTTGTTTTCTGCTTCCTTGGAGACTAGGACGCGGAACAATGGCTTCAAACTACAAGAGAGGAGATTCCATCAGAACATGAGGAAGAACTTCCTGACTGTGAGAGCCGTTCAGCAGTGGAACTCTCTGCCCCGGAGTGTGGTGGAGGCTCCTTCTTTGGACGCTTTTAAGCAGAGGCTGGATGGCCATTTGTCAGGGGTGATTTGAATGCAATATTCCTGCTTCTTGGCAGGGGGTTGGACTGGATGGCCCATGAGGTCTCTTCCAACTCTTTGATTCTATGATTCGAAATAACAACTCAGCACCCTCAAAACATTGTCACATACCGCCCACTCCCACCTAAAATTAGTCCAATCCACCCCACACCCAATTGCCCTTAAGGAATGCCCAATGGGCTGATGAAAGATTCCCAAAAGGCATCCAGTTGCTCCAGTCTATTTAACCCAGACCAGTCCATTTGGTCTGGGGGAGGGGGGGGGAGCAAGCGGGTGACATGTTAATAAAAGTTCAAACACTGAACTATACTAAGCCACAGCATCTCCTCCAAGGGCTGCAATGACAATGGTGGTTGAACAAGCCAGTGTTGTAACACAACAGCCAAGGGGGCGATGGTGGAGGAGGCCCCAACTGCCTGTCTGGTTTGAACACTGCAGCAGTGATGCCAGAGGGGATGTTGATGGAAAAGGTCCCATATAGAGGCAGCCCAATGCACCCACTCATTGGAGGCTCCTCTCTCAGCTGTTCTTACCAGTCTGTGTTGCAAGGTTTCAAAGTGGCAAGCAAATTAGACTTTTGTCAAGAAGTAGCTAGAAATATTTTTTTTTAAGTTGTTATGATGTAAATGTAGTCTGAATGTTTATTGCAAAGCATTTGGGAAGGAATAGAGAAAATCATACTTTCCTGAATATGTTGGACTGCCAGTCCCATCATATCAGGGACTGGCAGTCCTACAATAGCTAATGGGAGTTGTAGTTCAACGGTATCTTGTAGATCACATATTACTTCTCTCCGTAACACGATTTGTTGTACAATTTTTTTTTCTGATTGTAATAGTGTTGAATTTGAATATCATCTAAAGCAGAGTTTTTAAAACTATGGATCAGGACCCCAAATGGGGTCACTGCAACTGTATGTTAGGGTTGCCTTTCCTTTTCTCCCACGCATGCGCACGTCTCCCTGCCTTTGCTTCTTTCTTTTGTGCACACGAGTGACTCTTTATATTTCCTTCTCCTCTATGTATATGTTTCCTTCTTTCCTGCGCATGTGCACAAGGAAAGAACAGAAGACGGGGGAAGGAAAGGCACATACACATGCATGGGAGATAAAAAAGGCAAAGAGCTATGCGTGCACATGGGAGATAAGGAAAGGCAGAGAAATGCATGCATCTATCCACTAGGGCTGGGCAACCACGGAAAAATTTGTTTCTAAACTCGATTCGTTTTTAGGGGGTTTTTGCGTTTCGTTTTTTAAAAGAATTCCAAAATTTTTCTTTAAAAAAGTTCGATATTTACGAAATTTCGTAAATTACGAAACAATTTCGAAACAATAACGAATTGATTCGTTAATGGCGGACGCGATTGCGCAATACGCTAAAAAACCCTCCAAATGGGACAGGGGGAACTTCTGAAGCTTCCCTCTCCCTCTGTTGTTGACTGTTGGTGTGATAATTTATTTTTTTATCACTGATAAAACAAACAACAACTATAAAACTTGCACCAGACATACGGAAATAATAATGAAACATTTCGAAACAATTACGAAACAATTATGAAACAATTACAAAACAATTACGAAATAAATTTTAAAAATTCGTTTCGATTTTTAGTTGCTCCTGAATGGTTCAATATCGCATCGTTATAAAAAAATAACGAATTAATAACGAATTACGAAATTAACGAACGAAACCGCCCAGCCCTACTATCCACATGCACATCTCCCTGCCTGTGTGTGTGTGTGTCTCTCTCTCTTCCCTGTGTGCACATGCTCATGTCTCTTTTCCTTTCTTTCTCTCACCCACATGGCTGTCTATCATTTGCCTGCCCCCCCATCCTTTTTTTGGGTAAAAAGGGGTCAGAAGTAAAAAAAAAGTTAAGAAATTCTGATCTAAAGGGAAATCCAGAATTTGTAGGGTGCATCTTATTGCTAGTTCTATTGAAGGTTTTTTTTCAAACTTGACAGTTCATGCATATTTTGCCAAACAAGGATCCTATAGTGAAATGTTAGCATAATGTTAGCATCATATGATGCTTGCATGAGGCCGCCCTTAGGGGGGAGAAGGGCGGGGTAGAAATGCATGAAATAAATAAATAAATAAATAATGTTGTGGCAAATCTAGTCTTGATTTCTTGGAAGAACATGGAAACAGTTGCTCTCAAGTATCTTTACCTGCAGTGTTTGAATAAAATATTGTTCTTCTGCATTTTCAGCTGAATGCATGACATGCAATGGGGAAAGCTATAGAGGCCTAATGGACCACACAGAAACTGGCAAAGAATGTCAGCGCTGGGACCTTCAAAGACCACATAGGCACCCATTTCGTCCAGAGAAGTAAAATGCTTATTATCTTATTGTATATTTTAAGGAAAGTATAGCATGTGAAACAGGACAGTACTCTATGTTTTTCTCCATATAACTGAATTATGGTACAGACTGAATATCCCTTATCCAGAATTATGAAATCCAAAATACTCCAAAATCCAAATTTTGGACTGGCAGAGATAGTGATGCCTTTTGTAATAAAAATTAGCTGCTGACCATAGGTTAAATATATCAATGACCAATGTTATTGGTAGTATTAGCCGCCACCACCTCAGCTTTATTGGTCTGAGGAACCAAAGGTGTGAATGTGTTGTAGGTAAGGTGTGTTTGCCCTGGGTTCTTCTATTGCTTCTTAACTGGCTGACTGGACTTTAAAAGTGTTTGACAGACTTGACTTAGTTCTGAGGAGATTGACAGACTGAGGCATACACCAGTTAAAAGTGAACTAGAAGAGGTTTATTGATCTTTAAACAAACAGAAACTTGATTCAGTTGCAGAGACTTAGTTGGATTAAACAGTTAGTTCTACTGATCATAAAGCTTTTAAAACTGTGAGTTTCCTTAAACACACTGTTCTATTCATAGAAACAGTATCTCTTAGAGAACAGACTCCTCTCTGTCTCATACACAGGGCAATAAGATATCTTAAACTTCTCCTAAGTTTAAGAAGACAAAACTCTCTTTTACTGGTCCTCTCAACACAGTAAAACCCTAGCCTTTGTCTCAACCTTATTCCCTAACCTTAAGGCTCACTTCCAAGCTTTCTTTCCCTGTCAGACTCCCACTTTAGCTTCCTCTCCTAAAATCCTATTCTTCTGTGTCTGATGTCAAGACACTTCTCTCTCTGTCAAAACTGACAGCCTCTTTCCCTCTCTCAACCGACTCCTCCCCTAATTGCTCTCCCCAATCAGGAGTCGGCTTGACTCCTCCTCCTGCTTCTGCCTGTCTTTCAAGATGACAGCTACTGTCCTTCAGGCTTCGGCCTGTTCGCCTTAAAGGTAGATTTCACCACACCTTTCCTTTCTGATGGTTCAATATTCGGGCAGCCCCTGAGTTACAAACATCTGAATTACAAATGACTCATAGTTAAGAACGGGGGTGAGACAACAGGAAGTGAGAGAAATCTACCCTTGGAAGGAAAATTCACTCCTCAAAGAGGTCTTATGGGGAAAAGGCTGTCTCAACTGAAGCTTTATCACTAATCCTTGTTTGCACAACAAGCTAAACTTGAAAAGGGCCTCCAAAGGAACATTATTGGGGAGATGGAGATGTGGGAAAGGGAGATCAAATGTGTTAATTCAGCCAAGGGAATGTGAGAGAGTACTGGTAGTTCCAAAATGACTCCTAAAACAGGCTCCTGGCATGGTAATTTGGTTAACTAGGATGGCGGTCCCTCTGGGCTAGGTGTGTTGTAGGGCTGGGCGGTTTCGTTCGTTAATTTCATAATTCGTTAATAATTCGTATTTAAAGTGTTTTACGATCCGATATTGAACCATTCAGGAGCAACTAAAAATCGAAACGAATTTTTAAAATTTATTTCATTATTTCGTAATTGTTTCGAAATCGTTTCGAAAATGTTTCGTTATTATTTCCGTATGTCTGGTGCAAGTTTTATAGTTGTTGTTTGTTTTATCAGTGATAAAAAAATAAATTATCACACCAACAGTCAACCACAGAGGGAGAGGGAAGCTTCAGAAGTTCCCCCTGTCCCATTTGGAGGTTTTTTAGCGTATTGCGCAATCGCGTCCGCCATTAACGAATCGATTCGTTATTGTTTCGAAATTGTTTCGTAATTTCCGAAATTTCGTAAATATCGAACTTTTTTAAAGAAAAATTTTGGAATTCTTTTAAAAAACGAAACGCAAAAACCCCCTAAAAACGAATCGAGTTTAGAAACAAATTTTTCCGTGGTTGCCCAGCCCTAGTGTGTTGCTGTTGAATGCTAGGTCTGTGAATGAAAAAAAAAACCTGTAATAATCCAGGACTTGATTCTGGATGAGGGCACAGTCCTGGCCTGCATAACAGAGACCTGGCTAGATGAAGCGGGGAAGCGGGGGTTCAATCTTACCTAGCTCTGTCCACATCACGTATGTTCTGGGTAGGGCAAACATAGGTAGGAAGTGAGACTGTGTGGAAGACTGATTGCAGGAATTTGCATTAATAAAGTGTCATCACTGCACAATTGCATTGAGGTTTAGCTGATAACAGATGACTTTAAATTATGGAGATTTATATTTTATATATATTTAATCTGTACATTTTTGTCTTATATGATATGGTTTATACTATATAATTTATTTGATATTTTTCAACTTTTACTTTTATTTTTTGTGAATTTGTTTATTATATTTGTACCGACATTGAATGTTTGCTATATTATTTTGGAAGGCGCCCTGAGTCACCTCAGGGAGAGAGGGACGGGTTAATAATGATGATGATGATGATTTTTCCAGTAACAATATGTTTCAATTTGCTTAAACAATGCAATTGTGTTGAGGCAATAGGCTGGTGTGGTAAAGTGCTAAAAAGATGAAAGTTACTCATGTACTCATGTACCACTTCTCAACCTTCCTAATGCCACGACCCCTTAATACACTTCCTCATGTTATGGTGACCCCCAACCATAAAATTAGTTTTGTTGCTACTTCATAACTGTCATTTTGCTGCAGTTATGAATAGTAATGTATTATTAATAGGATGTATTTTCATACACTGGACCAAATTTGGCACAAATACCCAATACACCCAAATTTGAATACTGGTGGGATTGGGGGAGAGTATTGATTTTGTCCTGTGGGAGTTGTAGTTGCTGGATTTATAGTTCACCTAAAATCAAAGTGCATTCTGATCTCCACTAACAATGAAATTGAATCAAACTTGGCACACAGGGTTTGGTGGGCACTGACCTTGAGTTTTGGGAGTTGTAGTTCACCTACATCCAGAGAGCACTGTGGATTCAATCAATGATGGATCTGGACCAAACTTGGCATGAATTTTCAATATGCCCAAATGCAAATACTGGTGGAGTTAGGGGAAAATAGACCTTGTCATTTGGGAGTTGTAGTTGCTGGGATTTATAGTTCACCTACAATCAAAGAGCATTTTGAACCCTACTAACGATTGAATTGGCCCAAACTTCCCACACAAAACCTCCATGACCAACAGAAAATACTGTGTTTCCTGGTGGTCTTTGGTGACCCCTCTGACACCCCCTCGCGACCCCTCCAGGGGTCCCGACCCCCAGGTTGGGAAACACTGGCTTAAGCAAAACATTTTTGTGAATTTAGCGTATGCAGAGTTACATGGGCATTGATTGGTTTAATTATTTCTTCTCATTGGGACACACCAGGCATGTAGCTGAACCTCCTCAAGCCCCCCCCCCCGAAATTCTCATGGTGGTCTGCGAGTAGGCCTTACTGGTACATTAATTAAACTGTTATGTTTATTCATATCATGATCTGATCACCATGCTCAATATATCCCATATGCATGGGGTATTGGGGTAACGATACAAAAGGTTTGCTAGGGTAGACCCTCTTTCACTTTTTATTTATTTATGTAAAAGTTTTGTATACCGACCTTCTCACCTCCTAGGACTTTGCTAGGGTAGATCCTCACCCCCCCAATCAAACTCAGCCCCCCCCCCCCCCCCCCGAATCAAACTCCTGGCTACGGGCCTGGGACACACTAAGCATCAATGTTTTGAGAGGTGAACTAAATAACTGTGCCAGGAAAAATAGTGTGAAATGTTTTCAGGGTGAACTCAAGAAGGTAGTGTAAACTGACATATGTGCAGTTTAGATGAGTTTTTCGTCTAGCTTAGGATAGATATATTGTCATACAAGACAAAAATACATTCATGTTTTTAATCTTTAGAAATTTCACTTACTTCAGTCTTGTTAACTTTTTTTTAAAAAAATATTGTATTATTATTTTTATCCCATCCTCTTCTTCCCAGAGCTCTTTGAGGATGTTATTTTTTTGTTTTTCCTTTCTTTATTTCAATTATTATCTTATATATTTTACTAGTTATTCCTTTCAAATTTTCATGCTTCTCTACAACCCTTCCATTTTGTATTATTTGTTCAAATTGGTTAAGCTTACTTCCATTTTTATTATTTTTTCCCCAATTTTTAAACCATTGTTCTAATTGTATACAATGGAAACATGTCAATTTTATTTCTCTAAATTCTTCCATAATCGTTTCCTTCTTCATTCCAACCTTTATCCAATCCCCTATTTTGTCTATTTTTTTCCCTTAACCTTTTATCCATTACTTTTTAAAGATTTTTTGGAAATTTCTTTTGGGAGGGGTTGAAATTTTCGGGGGGGGGGGGTTTGAAAATTTCACCGGGGGGGGGGGTTGAAACCTGCCTCCTAGCTCACGCTGAAGCAAAGAGCACAGCAGGGGGCAGAGCAGCCTTCAATAGCCTGCAGCTCCGCCTTTGTCAACCACCTCCACCAAGTCTGGCCTCCTTAATGAGAACATTCAACACACACATCCCACAATGACAGTAATAATAATAATAATAAACCTTTATTTGTACCCCGCTACCATCTCCCGGAGGACTCGGTGCGGCTTACAAGAGGCCGAGCCCAAATACAACAGTAAAAACAACAACAACAATACAGCAAAATAACTCAAAAACAAGGCAATAACATTAACAACACACCATGACGCAATTAAAATCTGTGGCAGGGCCAAATGTAATAATTAAAATTAAAAAGTGCTGGGCATGACCAGGTGAAAAAGGTAGGTGTTTGGAGGGGGATGGGCATGCAGTTATCCTGGCTGGGGCTTGCCTGATGTCCTTAGGGAGAGAGTTCCAGAGTCGAGGGGCCACCACCGAGAAAGCCCTATCCCTCGTCCCCGCCAATTGCACTTGTGATGCAGGTGGGATCGTGAGTAGGGCCTCTCCAGATGAACGAAGAGATCGTGTGGGTTCGTACACAGAGATGCGGTCACGCAGGTAGGCGGGTCCCAAACAGTGTGAATAAATTGTCAATATT